AGATTCACAAGGGCATCCTTTCCTAATCACAGTGGAACTCCCACGCCCTCAGTGATGCTACTTCCTCTCTTCTCAATAGCCAACCACCCACCCTTTAAATTCAACCCCGCCCCTCGCCACAAAGTTCTAAAAGGGCAAATCTGAGAGGAGCTTCTTTCGAGGAGGCCAAGCGACCATTTCTCTGCGCAACTAGTGGCATATCTCAGTGTCTTCAAATCAAGATGGAATTCCTTTCTGGAATATACGCTTTAGCCAAACACAGTTTAACTAAAGCATCAACAAGTTATTAGGCTCAATACAGGGGTAAGTGGGTGAAATGTAATGGCCTTCAATGAAGAGTTACACAGACTTAGGTGTCATAGAAGAAAACTTCATCTACTTCCCTCTTAAAAAAATTACGAGAGAAAACATTTTTAAAAATCATTTTATGCTTGAGATTCAGCTTTTTTGTGAAGGACAAAAGTTAAAAATACATTAACATTCTAACTTATTTAACTATGGAGATGTTGCAAAACTGAAAGCATTATTTACAATTCTAGATGTTATGACTTTTGGGATTCAAAGTCAAATTCCAATTGGCCAAATATAGTATTGTGATTATTTCATAGCATAGGAATGTTATATTTTACTGTATGCCGTCTGCTTCGCTAGCACAGTCATTATTTACATGTATTTATACAACACATGTATGTCTTGTAGTATCCAAAACAGTGAGAAGATTAAACAAAATATGTTCAGTTATACTGCATGTGAAAGGTTTAATTGTAGGGAGATCCTCGCTTAACCCCACTCCTGAAAAAAGCTGTCCCTAGCTCTAGTTTTCTAGTTTGTGGCTACTCTGTTGTTAGAGTGCAACTTGTTCCTCATATGACTTATTACACGAGCAGAGAATACTCTACTTGTGCAATACTCAAATATGGCAATTTTGTGTTGCTTATTGTCCCCAACACTAAATAGTTTCCTGAGTGGATATTGACAAGCAAAAAGTCTGTGTAATACTTTATTTTTTTAAACTGGAATCTATCTGCTGTGGAGATAATGGCTAGATATTTAACTGATCCCCCTTTTCAGAAACTTCTTCTATAGAAGCGAGGAGTTCTGTGGCACCAATCTGCTTTTGCAGATTCAGACTAACACGGCTACCCCTCTGATACTTCTTCTATAGAAAGTCTCACAATTTCAAACCACAGTACATCAAAGCGCACTCCAGGTGTTTTACTGAGAGATAACAGTGTCCAATGGGAAAGGAATGTGCAGTAAATTAGTGCACTGAGAATTCCACACTGGCTCATTGAGCACTGAGTCTCCGTGCAGACACTACCAACAATCTAAACTGCACTGAAGTCAACGGGGGCTGCCCACATAAACAGGGTTTTGCAGGATCCACCCCTACAGCTTGGTGCTGTATTGTCTGGCCTTGCGCTCTCCCCCGCCCTGCTCAGGCAATACCAGCCCCTCTGATGCTGCTGGGGCAGAGCCCTGCAGCCCCTGGAAGCAGAAAGGCTGGCATTAACCCTCCCCTGGTCTAGCCAATTCCCTGGTTTGGGACCGGTCAGGTCCCCATGGTGCCGGACCAGGGAGACACTGGTTGGTTAGTACAGATTGTCTTTCAGCAGATAAAACGTTGCCCTACAAATATAAGTTCAAGAGTACCAAAGATCTCACTAAAAGAGCCTACCATTAAAGCAGATTGGACGATGCTACTTCATTTGTAGCAGAGAGTCGGTTTACACATCAATATAGATATTCCGAATATTCTGACTAGCTTTTTAGTTTACCAGAGCATTGATTTTTATTTTATAGCCACATTACAGTTATGCTAATGGATTCTGAATCAATAAAGTTCAAATTAATATTTTGATAAGGCAGAGAAAAGAAATAGTGCTAAGTACTAAACTAAAAAGAGCTTTGTGTTTTAATAAATGAGGAATGGAGGCTCTTCTGAAAACAGAAATATTAAACTAACTCTTATAGAAACATCAATAATGTTACCATAACCTGGCAAGGAGTGTGCTTTATAAACACGAACTGTTCAAAAGAGAACTGCATCAAAACAGATATGTATATCTAAAAAGAAATGGTACCTTTAATGTTCTAGTGGGAGCCCATCCAGTGCCATCAATTGAATGTTCCCTCAATAAACTGGAACAGAAAAGGAAGCACACATTATACAACACAATCTGAAACGGAGAAGCAGTTGAGATCACTTAAAATGTTGACTGCAACATTGTCTTCACAAAAACCCAGAACACTAAACTTAGAGCTTTCTGTATTACATGAAGTAGTTTGAGCTTTTAAAAATCCATATAAAAATGACAAGATGGAGTAAATCCCCCAAACCATTTGTTCAATTTCACTTTAAAAATCCCGATCTTCGCAGCATAATCTAAAACAAGGAACGGTAATCCAGGGGTTTACAGAGCTGAAAACAAAAATATGATAAGCTCCTACAGATATACAAAAACGAGATTCCAAGCCCAAAAATGTCCCTTCTCACCTGCAGTGTATGCACACACACAGATATGCCCATTCAGTTCCTAGTACAGCAGACTTCTGATAATCCGGCACCTTTGGGACACAGGGGGTGCCGGATTATCGGATATGCCGGAGCATCAGGAGGCACTCCAGCAGGGGGGCTGTGATGGGTCCGGGGCGGGGGGGTGAAGCAGGGAATGGCACGGAGTGGGGCGAAGCAGGGGCTGGTGAGGGGCAGCACTGCGGGACCAACTCGACAGCACCCCAGCTGCTCTGCCCTAGGGCTTCCCCAAGTCTGCCGCAGGTCAGCTTCAGCAGCAGCGGACTTGGGGAAGCCGTGGGGCAGAGCAGCTGGGGTGCTGCCGGGCGCCGAGCAGGGGGGGTGAGGGGAGGCGAAGGGAGGCGCTGTGGGATCAACCTGGCAGCACCCCAGCTGCTCTGCTCCGCACCGCTTCCCCAGGTCCGCAGCTGGTCAGTTTCAGCAGCGGCAGCAGCGGACTTGAGGAAGCGGCACGGAGCAGCTCCAATTGTCCGGCTGGCCGAAGCACTTCCGGATTCCAGTTGGTGCCGGACCACTGGATGCCGGACAATTGGAGTTTTACTGTATGTCCCTCTCACCCACAGCCAGGGTGAAAAGGACACACTAGAAACGAGGTGGGCCTTGCAGAGTACTCTGAGAATGCCAAGGAATCTCTACCTTCAGGGCCACAGCGAATCAACAGTTGCACTGTGATTGGAAGAAAGACACAATCATGCAAGAGGAGAGGACCCAAACCATTTTATGGCTTTACGAGTCAAACTCAATCCTTGAATTCCACTTGGAAACAGAGGCAGTGAGTGCACACCCCAGAACACAGGTAACATATTCTAGCTGAAAAACACAGCTTAAAGGAGGAATAAAAGGGAAAATGAGAAATGAATTTCTTAGGCGCTACCTGTGCCATAACCCACATAATGGGTCTAATTCAAGTGGATTTATGTGGAAACAGCTTTATGAATCACATATCATTAGATTCTGCTATACCTTCATCTAATGTATGGAAGAGATTAATCTCTGCAAACTGTATATTTTTGTTTAGTACTGTAGTCCATTAAATACTTCACCTAATTTTAAGATGAATAATTAAGAAACCAACTAAATCAAGATTTTTAGGTTTTAATTTAGCTTTTAATTGAAAACCTCTGGACATCTCTTTATTGTGCTGAACTATTTGGCAGTTATGGGCTTACTCAAGTAGAAAGAATAAGAGTTAAATGCACTTTCATTAGTGAGCAGAACAAATTTTCATTACAGTGACAATAAGTGGAAGAGGTTCTTCTGTTACTATAGTTTGTATCTATCTCCTCAAGATATCTTTTTGGTTGACCCAGCTGAATCTACAGAGGGTCAGGTCAATCTGTGTCACACAAGGAACATTTTTCACAGCCCCGAGTAGTGTAGCCAGGCTGATCTAATTTTACTGGACTGATGTTTTTATTTTACCATCTTGTAACCACCTCTAGTGTCCATAACTAAACCACATCAAGTCTCAGAGGCGTAGCTGTGCTAGCCTGTCACTTTAAAAATGAGTAGTCCTGTGGCAACTTGGTGACTGGTCTCTATGGTGCCACAAGACTACTCATTGTTTTTAAAACACAACAAAAATCTTAAAAACATCCCCACCAAAAATTCCCTAAATTAGAGTTAACAGACTGCATATATAACTATGAGTCAGTAATCACAGCTTTCCTACATGACAACAATGAACTAAGTATGTGATTATGCTGCATTCTAAGTATAGCTACTCTAGGAAATTAACCTGCAGAAAAATGCCCTGTTTTTTCTAAAATCAATTAGTAACGACACCAGCCAACTTGAACTTATCTGCTGTGCTACTCAACTAATTATCTTCATCTACCGTTGCCGTAGTGCTAGTCTTGTTGCTAAGCCTTGATAAAGAGAAAATTTTAATTATCACTGTATGATTCAAGATTTATTTCAGTAGCACAGTGAACTACAGTAGAACCTGAGAACACACCTTGGGAATGGAGACTACTTGTAGCTCTAAACAAAATGTTACTACAGGCGGTCCTCGGGTTACGTTCAAGATAGGGACTGTAGGTTTGTTCTTAAGTTGAATCTGTATGTAAGTCGGAACTGGCATCCAGATTCAGACGCTGCTGAAACTGACCAGCGGTTGACTACAGGAAGCCCAAGGCAGAGTTGCTCTGCCCCGGGCTTCCTGGAATCAGCCGCTGATCAGTTTCAACAGGCTGAATCTGGACGCCAGATCCAACTTACATACAGATTCAACTTAAGAACCCCAGGCGTCCCCAAGTCAGCTGCTGCTGAAACAGATCAGCGGCTGATTCCAGGAAGCCTGGGGCAAAACAGCTCTGCCTCGGGCTTCCTGTAGTCAGCCGCTGGGCC